TAACTATTGACTGTTGTGTGTGGACAACTAACTATTGACTGTTGTGTGTGAACAACTAACAATTGAAGACTGTTGTGTGTGGACAACTAACTATTGACTGTTGTGTGTGAACAACTAACAATTGAAGACTGTTGTGTGTGGACAACTAACTATTGACTGTTGTGTGTGAACAACTAACAATTGAAGACTGTTGTGTGTGGACAACTAACTATTGACTGTTGTGTGTGGACAACCAACTATTGACTGTTGTGTGTGGACAACTAATTATTGAAAACTGCTGTGTGTGGACAAATAACTATTGACTGTTGTGTCAGGACAACTGTTGAATACTTGACGTGTGTGTGGACAAGAGTTAAAGGCTATTGCTACCTGAAAGAGTTTTGAAGACTGTTGAACACTGTTGTTTTCCTGTGAACACCTACTGAAGGTTGTTGTTGTGTGCAGAAAAATGGTGAAGACTGTTGTTATTGCGTTTGAGACTGTTACTGACTACCGCCCTCTGGAAAGCAACTCATCTGTCTGGTTTTATTACAGAGTCGATCGACAGCTCTTGGCATACATCGCACGAAGTTGCCGTGAACTCCTGAACATTCCCGGAGGAGAGTGCGGCCGGTGATGTTGGAATCATTGCACGCGCGGTCTACTGCTTGAAGGAAAGGAGACTGCAGTCAGAGTGAGACGACGAGGAGAGGAGAGGAGAGAGGAAAGTGGTGCGTGGTGTGAGGAGCGTGGAGGCAGCCACGTGGGTGCGCCACGCATGCTGCCGCAGCAAGACGGCGAGTGACTCCAGCTCTACGCGAGATGCCGGGACTGTGCGAGACATAGAGTCATAGAGACGGTGCATTACAACACGAGACAGGGACGGCGTGAGACACCGCGGCGACAAGAAGTAGAGACTGTGTAAGGCAGTGCACAAGATAATAATGGTGTAAGACACTGGAACAGCCAGAGACAGATGGTGTGAGTCAATGGAGACATAGGAGGAGGTGAGAGACGCCGGAACTACAAGAAACAGAGACGGTGTGAGATATAGGATTGTTGCAGATACCAAGACAACAGGGAACAGGATCACTGGAAGTCGCCGGCACAACGTGAGACACAGGACACCGGGAAGGGACGAGAAACATAGAGACAGCAGTAGGAACCAGGAAACTGGAGGGTGTAGCAACGACGGCAGACCACTCTGCGACGTTAGCAGACACCACGACGGTCGGAGACGCCGCGACGACGCCATCGCACTCCGCGGAGACTTAACGACGGTAACCAAGGCGATGAGACTGCGAGCGCGACCGGCGGCGCACGCGGCGACGCCGCAGCCTGCGGGCCGCCGCCAGGGAGCGATGCGATCACCGCCTGCTAACAGCAGTGCAAAGCGGAAAAGAACCGACACGGAGGCAACAGTGGTATGTAGTGTTCTTTCAAAAAGCGAGTTAGTTGTGGGGTGGTGCACAGAGGCTGGTTGAATAGTTTGAGTTATAAGTTGGTGCTGGGAATTTTTAGTGAGAGAGTGGTCATGGAAAGTGGAAAATCGAAAAACTCTAGGAAAATTGTTTAGCCTTTAAGGCGTACGAGCCCTATTTATTTCATTTGTAGCTGCTGTCGGCTGCTACTAGTGGTCGCCAGGAGAGTCCTGGAGATGGTACAGATGGTTTATTTCGGGGGTTAGTCATTGTTGGATGGCTGTCAGAGCTTCAGTAGATGTTTGTATCTAACAAGATTTTAGGAGTGTAGGAGCGCCTGGTCATGCGAGGAGATGTGACGGCTAACTAGCCCTCACAGTAGCAGAGCGGCAGCTGGTAGCTCACTGGCGTGGTGTGTATATATTTGTAATTGGCTTCACTGATGACTCATGTCCTGTTAAGTGTTTACCGTTGTCCGGTACATGTGTGCCTTCTGTCAACTGTGATTGCCCTAACGATCTACCTCCATCTCCTTCCTGCTCTTCCTGCTAGGTCTGCCAACCTTCCTGGTTGTCATGTATGTCATGTCTAGGGCTTATGAGAGATTTTTTAGCAACTCTGCATACCAATTTTTCGCAAGTGTGGATAGGTAACATTTGCCCAGGTCGCTACCTACCTAGGCATCACCTATGTCGCCAGTCGATAGAGTCACACATGGTTTTTGAAGAACACAGAGAGAAGATGTCCACACATGTACACAGTCACAGTAACAAACACACTGCACGAAACAGTAGAAGGCACACAGTTCCAAACAGTAGCAAGCACTCAGTAACGCAGAAACGTCTAGACGAATGGACAAAATGTGCAGAATTTCCTTTAACTCTTCAACAGTCAGGCGGTTGGGTCATTGCTAGTCGGCAGGCTTTTTGCGTTAGCTCCACTTTCGCCTGAACAACAGATCTGAATATACTGTGGCACTCTCCTCCCGTGTGAAACTAAACAGCTTCTGTTTGACATTGGCAGTCTATTGAATTGGTTGCTACGAAAGGAAGGTTCCTATCAATACGTATCATTGTTCTTTTGTTTTGTCAGCAACGTTACGCAAGCGACAATTCCAGCACCCAATCATGCACACACGTGTACATGCGCTGATGCGCATGTATACATGTGTACGCACTGTGGTGTGCATACATGTACTCACGTACGTCTGTGTTTGCTGTGCGTGCAGGTGTGTGTCTGTCAGTAGATGTGCGTGCGTGCGTGCGTGCGTGCCTGCAGGCGGGTGCGTGTGGATGTGTGTTTGCGGGTGTATCTGTGCGTGTAGGGGGATAAGAGCGTCTATGTATAGTTTCCTAAAATCAGGAGCTAATCATGACATGACATGATGAATCATTATTAGCTCCTGCTAAAATGTAAATAGTAACTGTGCTCAGGTGCGCTTCTGCGTACATATGTTTGATATCAGTGTAATATGGCACCCTATATATATATACACACGCGCTTTGTTTGCATGCTGCTCTCTGTCACTGCACAGACAGCAATATTCTTTGCACCTAGATGCAGCCAACAATTGTAAGATGTTGCTGCTTCAGAGGCAGGAAACGCGTTTGTGTAGATAGCGTATCTGTCTGATAACTTGCCTAAATGAGACCCCTGCACTTCAAACGTGTACGCGCAACGTAGCTGAATGCGAGATCATAGACGATGACTAATGTTATATATTGATTTCTATTTATTTGAGGGATGATCATTTTAAGATAAAGATTTAAGGGTAAAAATTACTAGCTGATTGGTGCTACGATTTAGGATGTGCATGAACTATTCTGTGTGCAAGTAAAAATTTTGAACACGTGCATTAGTGAGAGCCTGAGAGGTCAGCTTCACCAGTATATTGGCCAAATAAAACTAATAAAACTATAAAACTATACCAGTGAATCTTGCTTTCAAATAAAGTAGGGACGTAACATTGGTGCACGCTAAAATACTACTCTCCCTGCTGAAGCGGTGTGTTTTGCACACTAGTTATGCCTGCGCACGTATATATAACCCACATATTGCTGTCGCCCGAAGCTACGTATACGTACGTGTGTCTGTCTGTGTCGTTAATAGTGACAGAGACGTGTGCAGAAACGTTAATGGAGTGTCGGAAGATGTTTCGAATTTCAAACGTAACTGGTGAAATTTGGCGTTTATGTAAATAAAGCACGCCAGTTGGCACGATGAGACAGTTATCGGCGTTTAGCCGAAAGCGCAACAGTTTATTTCGTGCTCTTTTAACGTGTGTCGCGTATGTGGGAAAGATGAATGCGGATCTGCCTTAATTGATTTGTGCATATATATATATATATTTTGAGACGTGAGCACTGCGGGGAGGTGCGTGGCAGATGCTTGGCTTCGTAGAGCTTCACAAGAACTTGCTCAATATTCTGCTCACCACTAATACTAAGACAGTTGAGTTATCTCCTGCTGGTTTGTCTCTCTCCCTCTCATGCGCACGCGTGCTTTCAAGCCTCTACCATTATTGAGATTGCACGCATGCAGTATTTATTTGTAATAAATTCATAACGGCAATGGATCCGACTTGATTAAGCTGTGTCGCTGTCATGCTCTCATCCGGTTATCGCTGGTAGCCATTTGTCTTTTTTTGTGTGGTTTCAGGAGAGCCCCGAATCTATGTGCCTGCAGAACGGAGAGTGTGAAGAATACACTGACATCAAAAACTTCACAAAGGCAGTGGTAAATGATATTTGCTATTGGTGTCTACTGGCGTATCCAGGAGAGGAGCCATCAGGGCCACCCCCTTCCCCCCCAAAGAATCTAAATCAGAAAACAAGTAAAAAATAAGCAAACTAGCCATGCTGCTTCACACATTTTTCACTAGAGGAGGGTGCAATGGAAAAGAAGGAATGTCTCGGAAAAAAAATGCGTGGCTAGACCCCGCTACTCTGCTGTTGTAGCTAACAACACTCCCCCATCCCTCCCCAACCGGTGGTTAGGGTTTTATCCCACACCCCCTACCCCTACCCCCTACCCCTACCCCGTTGGCTCCTTTCTGAATCTGCCAGTGTGTGTTTAAAAAATTGTCTGAAACCGGCATATCAGAATATCTGGAAGAATATCTGAATTCAGTGTTCATCAGGGATGTAGAGTGCAGTTTGTTTTACAAAAAAATGATAAAAAATTCTTCACTAGAAATTTTAGAAACAGTTTCTAAATAGTGGGTTGAGCACTTGTTAAAACTAAATGCTAGTGCTATTAGCCACTTACTGACATTTGTGTGTAGGCATGTGCATCACTCTGTTATGTATATTATATATACTTTTAAAACTGACGTTTCCTCGTGAATGTTTAACAGTTATCGTAAAAGCAAAGGCTGAATTTCAAAAACCCGTCCTCATAATTTATTTACGTCTGCCACTGTTAACCGAATGCTCGTCTCGTCTCGTTTCTTTAGAAAATTGGAAAGTGAAATACACCGCAAATTTTTCACGAGGCGGCATTTCCTACGAGAATATATAGTGTAGCTCTGCTTGTAGTTAGATGGAGGTGGGGAAACTGCAGCTTTCATATTCATCAGTGAATTGATAAGACACTTTTCTTGAGATTTACATACTCAAGATGAAAAAAGTCTGTTAAAAATAGATTAAGGCGGTGTGACTTTGCTGTGTAACTGCACTTATGATAGACAGGAAACTTTCTGGATTTTGTAAACTCGTTTGGAGAAATCCATTAGGTGCGATCCTGTATATAAATGAATTTATGCAACCTCAGTGATAAGTGCTGAACTTAACTGGAATGCTAACCCTATCCACAAGACTAACCATGAGAACAAGACAACCCCCTAAGAAAACTAATCCCTATCTTAGCTTTACCCATTATCGTAATCTTGACTTTAACCCCAACACTAACGTTAACCCTAACCCTAATGGTAATGCTTAGAACCAATAATACACATTGCTAAGTGTAATTTTAACCCCAACTGCAACCTTAATATTAACCCTATTACTAACCTCAAACCCTAATGCTAATGTAGTGAGTAAAACAATGTTATGTAATATTAACCCTAACCCACGTATTAACCCTAATCCTAATCTAAATTCCAAGCTAAACTCGTATGTAGACAGCGTGGTTTAGATGGTTGAGTACTAATCAGTAACGTGCATCCTTCGTGTAGGTGGAAGTCAACACAGTGTCAAAGAGACGACGGTGGGACAGTGCAAAGAAAGAAAACCGAGCTGCAAACTGCGCTGCTCCCTTGGTGGTAAATGGCTGCGGCGACGATTGCAAGGACAAGTACGTTTCTGGTTTCACGTGCGCGATTGATTACTGTCAGTGTCAGTTTTGTGTCTGCGCATCAAAGAGTACAAGACTGTGAAGAGCAAGAGAGACAGTGAAAGCGTAGGGAGAGGGGGGGGGTGAGAGAAATAGAGAGAGATAGAGAGAGAGAGAGAGAGAGAAAAGAAAAGAGACAGAGAGAGGGTGAGGGTGAGGGAAGCAGGAAGAGAGAGATCAAGAGAGAGACACAGTGAGACAAGGAAGGGAATGGGGAGGAACAGTGAGAGGAGAGAGAGAGCAGAGGAAGTGGGAAGCTTCATCCGTCTAGGGGGGTGTATTTGTTTAGGGTTCACCACAGTTTGCCTCTGCCCTAAGTACTGCAAGGATTATACAGTCAAACCTCGGTTATCCGAACAAGATCTCAAGTTCCCGTGAATATTTAATAAGCCACTAGACCACCCGTGACCCGTTGGGTCACCCACACTATTCAGAGGTTATGAAGAATTCAAGCTAATTTCAATATTGCACCGAAATGAAGGTTTATTTTGAGATAATTTAATTAAATATTTCTATCCATTCCTATTATTCATAATTCAAGAAAAGATATTTGAATGTTCACTTTTCCTGCGTGTAGCGCTGTAGAAAGCTAGATAGGCGGCGTTTTACGTAACGTTGCCTGGAAACAGTCGGTACAGTTGCTGACGTAATTTGCCTGTAAACAGTTGTAATGAAGTTGTGATCGTATAGTGTATCAGGTTCGTGTCTTTTGGCACAGGTAAGATATACCATTAGGTAACACGATTAATAGACAGACGTGAATAACGTATGACAGGAACAAAGTGTAACGTACAACAGTTCATTACACGGCTCCTTTATTTACGATTAGGTCAGTTATCCGAACAATCAGTTATCCGGACAAAATATTCCCTTCCCGTATCATTCGGATAATCGAGGTCTAACTGTACCAGAAATGCATTCGGCTATTTATGTGGCTACAGGAATGTTAGGAGAGATGAAGAGACAGAGAGAGGGTGAGGGAAGCAGAAAGAGAAAGATCAAGAGAGAGACAGTGAGACAGGGAAGGGAATGGAGAGAAACAGTGAGAGGAGAGCGAGAGAGAGAGAGAAGGAGAGGAAGTGGAAAGCTTCATGCGTCTGCACGCTGCATGTGGTGTACTGACTGCACTTCGTCTTCGCAGGTGCAAAGATGGCTTCCGCTGTGAAGCAAATATTGGCCAGACAGCGGGTCAGGAGACCTTACCCGATCTCATCTCCTCTGCACCTTGCACCCCGGTATCAACCAAGAAGTCAGCGAGGTCTCGAGGTGCGTGTTGTTTACCCATCTGTCTCTCGCGACGCGTCAACGTCAAGTTAATGGCGAAGTCGTTAACGCGTGTAGAAACGCAACGCAGAGGAATATTGCAAAGGTTTTTTTTCATTCTCAAAGATTTCGGTGTCAAGTATACCGGCGAAAATTTGAAACGAGAAAGTTATTTGGGGGGGGGGGGGGGGTATTTGATTAGGATTTGCGGTTTGCCTTTGCCATAAGTACTGCAAGGACTCTACCAGAAATGCTGCGTATGAACTTTGGACATTTACGTGGCTACGGGAACGTTAAGAATTTTTACTTAAGACTGCACCCACTATACTGCACACAGTGTAAATATTCGAGGATGTGCACCACCTTCGTGCTGCTTGTGTAAATATCAGGACACATCAGATACCTGACGTGGTTTCGCAAACAAAGTGGCAACAGGCGAGAGATTTTGCGACACTGAGCAAGAACCACGGATGCTTAACTGTGTCGTGTGCCGTTTAATTAAAGCCGCACTATGCGCATCCAAACGCTAATTTCTCCAGTACTAGACTAGCAAATACTTCGTGTCATGCATAATCACACTACCTTATGGCAAAATAAACTCTAGTTTCTCCCATTTCACTGCGCGTTTGCTTAAACCCCACAAGAATGAGGTGCGAAATCTGGTAATCTGGCGCCAACGCTAAATTGTTGGCAAAACAATTTCGCCAAGAAACGGTTAGGTGACGTCACATGTTTTTATCTTTGCTACACCCATACCGCTGTACCGCTGCACCGCTCCACGGTTGCTTGGCAGGGCAACGCGAAAGTGTCAACAACATCGGAGAATTTGAACAACAGTGGAGGTATTTTCAAATGCCTTTTATAAGGCAACGCGCAGTGAAATGGGAGGAACTAGAGTTTTATTTTGTCATAAGGTAGTATTGATTATGCATGACACGAAGTATTTGCTAGTCTAGTACTGGAGAAATTAGTGTGTAAATGCGCATAGTGCGGCTTTAAGCGATTGTCGGGGAAATTACTGGAAACCATTCCCAGTAGTATTCATGGAATGACAAAATTTTTCGTAACTGGTTAAAATCAGATGTCACGTTTTTACTGTGGTTCACTGTGTATTAATGTGTTCGTTCTTTGAACGATGTCCAGAATAGGTGTGCTTAATATCGGGTGTGTTTAGCACGTGTTGTCAACACATGTATATATTGTAAACACATGGTACAGTTAACACAGGTGTCGTTAGCGCGTGTTGTTAACACAGGTGACAACCTTTTTGTGTCTGTTCGCAGGTCGGAAGCCAAGTGGGAGACGAAAGCGAACAAAGCGGTCGACCCTCATAGGGACACTGTTTTCACCCATATATCAGATGTTTAATGGACAGAAGAGCGGTAATAATCACTTGCCATCTTCAGCATCTTTCACTATAAGTTGCAGTGCGTGTGTGCGTGCGTGCGTGCGTGCGTGCGTGCGTGCGTGCGTGCGTGCGTGCGTTCATGTAGTATCTAGTCTGAGATTCACGTCTGTTAGCAGCACATTACTGTGCTATTACGCACGGGCTGTTGTATTATATACGTTGGCCAGGTATCAATACTGGTCCTCTATGAAGTATGTGCTGTGCTAAACTCCCCCTCCTTCCTCCACATTGATCACCCTTCCTATTTATCCCTCCCTACCTTTCTCGTTTCACTAGGACTGTCAGCTACATTATCTGTGTGTTTACAGCGGGGGAGACACAGAACCACAAGGCAGCGTCGGAGTGCAGCGACAGCGACTGTGATGTAGATACTGTAGCAAATAAGATCAACCTGGAGGAACAGCAGAAAGAACAGGGAGGCCACACCAGCCACCAGGGGGCACTTGGCCATGCGAGCCACCAGGGGGCGCATGGTCATGCCAGCCACCAGGGGGTGCATGGCCACTCCAGCCACCAAGGGGTGCACGGCCAAACCAGCCACCAAGAGGTGTCGCCTCCCGCCAGCACCGACTGTCGTGAAAGTGGATCGTGCGAGAACGAAGGTGGGTTTGGCAAACACTGGTTGTTGTGTTACACTCGGGGGTAGCGCTGTAGTTGTTGCCAGTTAGTTGAGCTTCCGCGCCTTGATTATGTCATACGTATCAGTCTTCGCTTCTGTCCCCTAACCCTTGTGCATTCCCCCACGAGTGTCTTACAGCTTCATACCTACTTACAAACCTACCCACCTAACCACTTCCCATCACACCACTACCATACCTACATGCGTAGCTACATCCCTACCTGCCTTTCTGCCAACCTGCCTACCTACTTATGTACCTACCTACCTGCTTGCCTGCCTGCCTACCTGCTTGCCTGCCTGCCTGCATGCCTGCCTGACTGCGGCTACCTACCTACCTATCTACGTACCTACTTATCTACCTACCTACCAACTTGACTACATACCTACCTATCTGCCTATCTACCTACCTACCAAACTACTTATCTACCTACCTACCAACTTGCCTACATACCTACCTATCTGCCTATCTACCTACCTACCTAACT